GGGTATAAAACAAACTAAGTACATAGTTAAGAAAGAGTGCCTCATCAAAAATTTTGAAATTCTTGGCCCCAGGGTCACAGGTTCTGGTGTTAGGGTGGGGCTATGCACATATATAGATCATATAGTGAAAGTGCATTATTTCTTTGAAAATCTTCTCTACTCTTGGGTAATAAACAAACTAAGTACATACTAGTTATGCTGAGCAGGAGTGCCTCTTCAAAAATTATGAATTTCATGGCCCCAGGGTCAGAGGTTCTGGTGTTGGGGTGGGGCTCTTTGAATTTCTTCTCTGCTCCTGGGTATTAATTTAACCCCTTTCATGCAAAAGATTTTAAGCATTTTTAGACAAATTTATATTAAGATATTTTTAAGTATTTCTTGTAATTTTTGTGTATACCAATGTATATATATTCTGAAAGCAGGTATTGTGTAGTTTCTGAAAATGATTATAAAATATTGTTTCAGTTGTCATGGCAACCAAATACACCATAATCATGCTGGAATTTTCATTTATTCAAGAATGAGTTTCATTCTAGTTTTTGGGTCACCTGAGTCACTCAGGTGACCTATTGCTATCTGTTTCCGTCCATCGTCGTGCGTTGTGCGACGTGCGTTGTCCATCGTGTGTTAACATTTGAACATTTTCAGCTTCTTCTCTGAAACCACTGAACCATTTTCAACCAAATTTGGTATACAGCATCTATAGGTGAAGGGGAACAAAAATTTTGAATTTTATGGTCCCCGCCCCCCTGGGGCCTTAGGGGATGGGCCAAAACCTAAAATTAATGCAATTTTTAAAAATCTTCTTCTTTACTCCTGGACATCAAGCCGTCAAACTGTTTGCATGATTGTAATGAGCATTGAGTACTCTACCAAAATTGTGAAATTCATGGCCCTGGGGTCAGGGGTTCTAGTGTTAGGGCTGGGCTAAATAAGTATATAGTGAAAATGCATCATTTCTTTGAAAATCTTCTTCTCTGCTCCTGGGTATTTAATAAACCAACTAATTACATAGTTATGATGAGCAAGAGTGCCACTACCAAAATTGTGAATTTTATGGCCCCAGGGTCAGGGGTTCTGGTGTTAGGGTGGGGCTCTTTTGATATATAGTGAAAATATATGAATTCTTTGAAAGTCTTTTTCTTTGCTCCTGGGTATTAGATAAACTAACTTAGTGCATAGTTATAATGAGCAAGAATGCCTCTACCAAAATTGTGAATTTAATGGCCCAAGGGTCAGGTGTTCTGGTGTTAGGGCGGGTTTCTATTGATTATATATAGTGAAAATACATTAAATCATTGTCATTCATTGAAAATTTTCTTCTCTACTCCTGGGTATTTAGCAGATGAACTACCTATATAGTTATGATGAGCAAGGGCCCTAAGAATTTGAATTTCAAGACCCCAGGTCAGGGGTACTATAGAGGGGGGGGTTGTACTTATATACTAAAAATGAATGTTTTGAAATCTGCTCCTTGGTATTAATCAAATATTTTTGAAAAGCAAGGATGCCTTTTCAAAAATTGTGCAATGTGTGGATCTAGGCCTAAGGGTCAGGGTTTCATGTGTGGTAGGGGCACTACTGATATTATCTGAATTTTACTGATTTGTTGAAAAGCCTTTTTTGTTCCCCTACCCTGCCTATGGGATTTAAGTTACAAAACTAAGCAATTGCTTAGTGTATAGTTATGATGATCAGTGGTGTCTCTTTCAAAATTGTGAATGCCATAGCATATGGGTTAAAACATGAATCAAATTCAATCACTGGAAAGTTGTTGCATAATGCTCAGGTGACCTATAAGGCCCATGGGCCTCTTGTTTTGCTTAGTTAAATACAGACCTGTTTACCCATATCGTTGTTTCACAGTAATTTTGATGAAATTTGTCCGTGAGATTTGGGGTTTGCCAGTGAGATTTCATTTTTCATTGATTTTACGTATATTTATGGAGAAAGGCTGTTTTTCTGATTACCAAGTCGCCGGCGTGGCAGAGTGGTTATTGCGTCTGCTTTAGAGTCGCAAAGTACGGACTTGTTCCTCTCGCATCCGACTGTGGGACATGGAGATAGGTCCTTCGGATGAGACCGTATAAACCGAGGTCCTGTGTCGCAGTAGGTGCCGGCACGAAAAAGATCCCTCCCCGCTCAATGGCTCGAGTAGAGAACAAAATTTGCAACCTCGAGAGAGGGACGTTAAACAACGTACAATCAATTAATCAATCTGATTACAAAACATAACGGACGAACATAAAAACTAACTGCGAAATTCCGAACAAATGTATTTCCGTATTTTCATAACATCAAAAGGTGAAACGTATTTTGTACTAAAAATCCGTATAAAATACGGCGAAATCGTAAGAGTAAACAGGTCTGTAAATATATTAAAAAATATTTTATTGTTGTGTTGAAAATTATTAGCTTGTTGTACACTTTTTTTTTTTACAAACCAGTTTTAAGTATTTTGGGGTATGAATGGGGTTGCGAGGTTATCACCAGAATTTAGCATTTTTACAAATTACGTTACCCCTGCATTAATTTTGATAATGGCAAAATTGTTCAAATAGTGCACAAAGTTTAACTCAAACTAGCAAAAAACCAGTACAACCAATAAAAAAAACTCTGTTTATTATTTTATCGTAATTATTTTCTCTTTCCAATGGTGCAAGATTTATTCTGATATTTGCAGTATTAACGAAGTTATGAATGTTTTTTCACAGTATACTCGTTTTTTCAAGTCAGGTGCGTAGGAATGCCCATATCCCATGTAAGGAAACAAACCCACTAAATACATATTTATAATGAGCAAGAGTGCCTTTTTTCAAATTTGTGAAATTGGTGGCCCCTGGGTCATGGGATCTGGTGTAAGGGGAGGGGGATTAATTGATTATATAGTGAAAATACATTAATTCTTTGAAAATCTTCTCCTCTAATCTTAGGTATTAAATAACCTAACTAAGTATATAGTTATTATGGGCAAGAGTGCCTCTTCCAAAATTGTGAATTTCATGGCTCCTTGATCAAGGGTTCTGGAGTTAGGGCTGGGCTCAGCCTCTAATGATTATATGGTGAAAATGCATTGATTCTTTAAAAATTTTTTCCTTTGCTCCTGGGTATTAGGCCTATGTGGATGATCTCAGTACATATTTATGATGAAGAAAGGTGCCTCTTCCAAAAATGATTCATTTCAGGGCCCTCGGGTCAGGGGTACTGGGGGGTACATATTCTGAAAATAAATTAATTCTTTGAAATCTGCTTTTTTATGATGAGAGAAAATTTCTTTTTGAAAATTTTGAAATATGTGGCCCCAGGGTCAGTGGTTCCTGTGGGGTGGGGTGCACAACTGGTTATAAAGTTTCCCTTTGTTCTGTGATCTACCTCTGTGTATTTTAAAGTAACCAAAGTAAGCATGCTATGTGTATAGTTATGATAAGCAATGGTGCCTTGTTCAGAATTGTGATTTTCATGGCCTCTGGTTTAAAACACGAACCAAGTTCAATCGTTGGAATGTTGTTACATGATATTCAGGTGACCTAAAAGGCCCGTGAGCCTCTTGTTATCTTTATAGAGCACATTTTTATGAATTTTTATTTACTCTGAACCCCCTTTTTTCATTCTTCAGAACCAATTTGTCTGAAAATTTACTTTGCAGGTATATTATTTTATATATTGAAAGTAATTACATGTAAATATAATCTCATTTTGTTGCTATTGTTATTTATAATTGAAAAAAAAATTTTTACTTTCTTTTTACAGCCATGAAGAGTTCATGGTAAATGGTGTCAAGCATATGCGAATGAATTTTTATATTCAGAGTCCCCACAAAGTAGGAACAGTGTATGCTGAAATAAAACAGGTATTAAGGTGGATTCCATCCTCAATTTAAATCTAACTTACTTGTACTCTTTTGACATTGAACTATGAAACTTGATTGATTTTCCTTGCTTCTATTTTTGGCAAAAAATTTTGAATTATTTTTGTTTAAATAAAGAAAGCAATCAGAGTAATTATAATGAGTAGATATAGATGTGTGTTAAGGAAGTGCAGTCTATTTATAGTTCATTCCTATATTTTTGTAGATAAGAACATGCAATACAATAAAGATTTCATGTTTCTAAATTTAGAAAAGGAAATTTTTAAATCAGAATTTCCAGTTTATTCTCAATAGCTAATTGTATTGATTATAAAATAAAATTTGATTATTGCTATAAAATACAAATTATTATAAATACATAGAAGTGATAAGAAAATTTCTTAGCATTTTAATCATTGTGTCTATATATAGTGTTTGTTTTTATATTTATAGGAGCCAGACAGGGAAAGTGAATACGTATACCTTATTGTAGAACTGAAGGGGTTTCCCAGCAAAACTATAGTCATAGTGGACAAGAGATGATTGAGTTGGAATCCAAAGAATTTAATGAGAAACATGCAATGTTTAGGTGTATTCTGTATATATTATATTATTATCAAGGCATGGAAGGAATAATTCAGTCCCTTCAATTGTGAGCCAGCTGCAAAATTAAAATTTTAACATTTAAATTGAAGAAATATACTCTTTGAGACTTCAAGATTTCATTGAAATCAGAATTGCTTACTAGTGTCACATAATACATTGAAATGTATATGAGGTACATTTATAAACTGCATCTGGTGCTGAGAAGGTGCAATAAAATTGCAACAAATCAAAACAGATTCACCTCTTCATTGTTACCTTGTACATATGTATTTTAATGACTAAGGTGTTCCCTTTAATAGCCAGCCTATTCTCAGTTGAAGAAAATGAATTTGAATAAATATATTTAAACACCCATAACACTTACATTCTCAGTTCACTGATGAATGGATGGCCTAAAAATGTTTAACATTTGGAATAGAAGTATGCAAAATAGTAAGCTAAAACATGAATGAGTCTTTTTGTTTGTTGTTTGCTTTGATTGTAGCTGCAATAATGTTGTCCTCTCTCAATTTATATGGCTACGTTACTTGCATTTGAGGGAAATGTTACATTCATGTACACAAAAAAATGCATCGAACGTAATCTTATGTATTTCTTGGCCAAAGAATCAGAGATAACTTTGTCTTGGCCAGCTGTTGGATGAGAGAATGTACAAGTCTCATCAAGGACAATTATGGAACGCCATCACTGCCTTATAACATAAAACTATGCATTCATTATGTCAATCTGTCATTACGTGATGTGAACATATCTTTACGTTATGTCAATTTCTTATGGGGTGATGTAAAAATATCTTTACATCATGTCAGTGCTGCATTACATGAAGTAAACACATTCTTCCATTATGTCAGCACTTTATAACTTGAAGTCGGAAGTTCATTATATGAAGTGAAAATATGTTCATATTGTGTTAAAACTTTATTACGTGAAATGAATGTTTCTTTATATTATTTCATTTCTTTAATATGTGAGGTCAAAATTGCATTACGTCAAGTAAATTGTGTTTTATGATTAAACTTATCATTACATGAAGTCAAAAGTCCATTCCTTTTTTGAGAATGTATATGTCTATTATATCAAAGCATTATTACGTGATATGGATTTATCTTTATTTTACGGCCAGAGCATCATGATGTGAGGTGAACACATCTTACCTTTATGTCAGTGCTTTATTACGTGGTGTTAAAAGTGAATAACATAATGTGAACATATCTTTATATTATATCAACACTTTATTACATTATGTCAAAACTCCATTCTGTTATGTGGATATATAGATATATAATTAGCTTATGACAAATCTTTCTTATCTGATTTAAAAATATCTTTATATTGTGTTAACTCTTTATCATGTTGATTCCAAAAGTTTTGATGTGAAAATACATTTACATTATCTGAAAGCTGTATATCTAGTATAATAATGGATGTTGACGACCGTGTTTTAATGACTCGTAAGAGGGGGGGGGGGGGGGAGTCCCGATTGAGTAGGACGAATTATAGACACATAATATCAGCCCCCCTCTTTTCCCAGACATAACCTTATTTTAGAAAATGTCATGTTCATTGAAAGTACAACCCCCACCTATTGTTGAAGTATAGTCCACTAGGGGTAATGTAGTATAACTGAAAAAATATAGGACTGATCGAAGTCGGACCCCCTCTCCGAAATAGGATTTTCGGGTTTGGACAATTTTTTTGGCTTGTCGAGTTTTTTTTCGGGTAAATATTTTTTTTCTTTCTGGCTGACATCCTCTTTCAAATAAATGCTATGTCACGGAATTAGTTACAGTAATTTTTTCAACCATTCCAAGACCAGAATTCTGTTACAAAAATCTACCAGTCCCTCTTCTAATTCAATTGAATATGCCTTAATAAGCATGCATGGGCACATATTTGTGGCGCATATGGGAATCTTGAAAAAAGAAGGGGGACGGTATAGAGTTGGTGACCAAAGGGGGAAAGCGGAAAAACTCCCCGGCAGGCTTTATAGTTTTATAGAAAAAAGTTTCCAATTTAATTCAGCTAAACTTCATGTGAAAGTAATGCAATGTCCTACATTGTAAAACTAATAAATTTATTAATTTTATGTATATTTTGGTGACTAAAGATGGTAGAGCGGGATTTCTGCCCCCCTCCCCAACCCGCCAGTGCACGTGTGTTATACGATATATCTGTTTACACTTTAAAAAAGGAGAGTTAAAGCCTGATAAAAAATACAGTGTTCTGAATAAGATCAGAAGTTTAAGATTTTTATTTTTTTTAAAAAAAGCAATATAGAAAAAAAAATGCTGCACGACTCATATTTGATTTATTTAATTATCAGATAAAAGTAAACGCCATTGAATTTCGGCGCGTGACTTTAATTCACAGTCGCAGTGTTAAGGCTTTGCATGTTTCAAGATTGTCAATCATTTTTCTCTTAAAGTTTTCATTTAAAGATGCAATTCCCAAATCGCTGAGAATTTAATTTATGACAGTTTTCTCTCCCGCCATTTTTAGTGCTTTCGGAAAGCGGAAAATACGTTATGCTCATATAAAGGCCGAGGATACCCGTGTTCGCATAACGTAATAGTGAATCGACATAATGTAGAAGAGTGCGCACAGAATGACATGAGCTTTTCACATCTGATTTGAGATGAAATAGCCTAAGATACATGTATGCTGACAAGAGGCTTAGCATTTTTGACACAATGTTAAGACACAATGACATAACGTAATAACGATTTGTCAAAAAGTAAGAGCAAATTCACATCATGAAATTGATTCACGTCGTCATGTAGCATATTGAAGGCATAAAGTAGTAAAAGAATTGACCACATGTGACAATTTTTTCAGATAATGTAATGAAATTCTGACATCGTATTATAGCGAATTGATATTGAGTTAAAGATAAATTCACATCATGTAATGAAATACTTAGAACAAATAGTAGAGAGTGCACATAATGTAACAATGAGTTGAAAATATATAAAAACATTTTTACACCACGTAAAATTGTTTTGACTTAATGTCATAAAGAGCTGATATAATGCAATGGAAGATTGGCACAATGTAATTAAAGTACGAGTTAATGCCATAAAGACTAAACATAATGTAATTGAAAGTTGACATAACGCAATAGTAGTGTGTGTAATTGTCATAAGGAGTTGACATAATGTAATGAAAGGTTGACACAATGTAATAGTAGTGTGGACTAATGTCATAAAGAGTTGACATGATATAATGGAAGGTTGACATCATGCAATAGTATTGTGGGTTAATGTCATAAAGAGTTGACATAATATAATGGAAGGTTGACATAATGCAATAGTATTGTGGGTTAATGTCATAAAGAGTTGACATAATATAATGGAAGGTTGACATAATGCAATAGTATTGTGGGTTAATGTCATAAAGTGTTGACATAATATAATGGAAGGTTGACACAATACAATAGTAGTGTGAGTAAATGTCATGAAGAGTTGACATAATGTAATATAAGGTTGACATAATGCAATAGTAGTGTGAGTAAATGTCATAAAGTGTTGACATAATGTAATGGAAGGATGACGCAATGCAATCGTTGTGTTATGCTATAAGGCAGTGACGGCGTTCCATAGACAATAATACAATGTATATGCTTCGCAGTTGTAAAGGTTCTATTTTATAGGCAAGGAAACTAGAATAATTTTTTACCTACCGGGTATTTGATATTTGTTGCTTGTGATCTAGACCAAAACGCATATGTGTGTGGGAGCTACCGGTTATAACATAACCCCCCCCCCCCCCCAAACCAGCAGGATTAATTGAAAAGAAATTCCGCAGACTGAATCCAGCGCCATATTACAGCTTAATTCGTGGGAATTAATTTCAAAATTATAAAAAAAAGAATAAATTATTGTGATTTTTTTTATTTACATGAAAACAACTTCTTGTCCCATCAACCGAGATAATTAAGGAAGTTCGGTGGTATCAGTTGGTTGAAGCGATTTTGTCGAGTGCAGGGTATTTTTTAGAGAAACATTTCCTTTTTGCATGAACCAGGTTTCCTGCTAGGCTTTGTTCTGGGGGTTAGTATTGCAGCACTTAATTATCAATTGTTGAACAAGGCGATCGACAGCTCCATTGTTTTTGGAAAATATTCTAATTTTGAATTATATTGCTGTCTATTCGTGATTTCCATCAACATGGCAGAAAATAACTGTTGCAGGTAAAACTTAATACATTAAAGTTTTTTTTATAGAGATATTTGATCTGATCTCATAGATGACGTGGGACCCTTCATACAATCTTAAAACCATTAAAGTGTATGATGTTGAGTTATTTAGTGGTAAAAGCTTTATTAAGTTCACTATTAATAATATATCTCCTTTCCACCCCCACCTCCATCGTCCCAAGTCACGGTCTGGAGTCCGCATATAGCTCTCTCCAAAATGGGGAAGGCTCATACATTTTGGCCGTGGCTGGCGACGATGCCCCCACCTCGGAATTGGAGATTTTCTCTTCATGTCGTTAGATTTTTTGAGTGGCGGTGCTTTATGACTGGATCCACCATTGCTGCATCACACATCTTTTCTCACTTTATGCAATATTTTAGAGAAGAGTAGTGCATCTAGCCAGCTACTTAGACAATAGGTCATTTATTGTGGAGTACGATATATACATCATTGTAAGCAGTGGGAAATTACGATTTACCAGGAAAAAAAGAGCAAAGTAAATATTACACAATGTGTCAGATGCCTGATAACCGAGATTTTTTTTAAAGTTGCAATGTGCAGAACGAATAATGGTTGTTAGTTTCATTACTTATTATGTACATTCCAGATCAGGAGGGTGGCTACCGAGATTTTTGTTCGGGGAAAGGGAGGGATACAAATTAACCATTCAGAATAAATACCAAATACCGTGACAAGCAAAAACAAGTCATTAGAATTTATAACTGAGGGTTACAATCATTTTTAGCTTTGTTTCCTGTTACAGACAAATAGCATGGGCCGGGGGGGGGGTCTCCCAAATCATCCCACTCTTAATCCAAACGACTTTTTACTACTGAAAGGTCGGTTGACCCCCTTACTTTTTGCTTCAGTATAGTCAAATGAAGTTAATTAGTGTATGCACAAAATAGTGGAACCTTCTTGCATGATGTAACGCCCCCCCCCCCCCCCCGAACGAAATATGATTTTTGCCGGAGATTTTACAATTTTCCTTCTTTCGTGTAAACTGATTTTTTTCCTCTCCCCCTTCCAAAAACGA